GCTGAGGTGCAGTCATCTGCAGAATGACCGCAGGATCAGGCCTCCAGCCATCCCAGGGGCAAGGAGTTCATGATAGAGGACTCTGCTTCTCACTTAAGTGACATTAGCCCATGACTTGGTTTCTGTTTGTAGGGCTTTCTGATAAGAAAGGGGATTCTGGGAATACCTTACTCTAGAAAAATAGGAACCACGAATTACAAGACTGAATCCACATAGACTCGCAACACACAGAGATAACTTGGGTATGAACAGACCCCCAAATCTTTTATCTAAGTGAGATTATGCTGTATGCAATCCTGTATCGTGTTTTTTTCCTTTGACATCATATATTCATAATTTCCCTTTGACTTGATCAATTCACTCTGGAGAACAGGCTGGCCTTGAACTCATCAAGGTCCACTTGCCTCTGCCTCCCAAGTGTTGGGATTAAAGGTGTGCACCACTATGTATGCCTAGCTGATTTAAGGGGTGGTGTGCTATAAATTTATTTTTGCAAGTCATTTATATTTATGTGTGCGTGTGTGCCTGTGTGAGCTCACGTGCTCACCTGTATGCAGCTGTCTGTGGAGGTCAGAAGAGGCAGCATACCCTCTGAAACTGAGCCTAGATCTGCTGTGGCTGTGAACCTATCCTGGGTTCCCTGCAAGGTCAGGTTTTCTTAACTGCCAAGCCATCTTTCCAGCCCTGTTTTGCTTTTAAATTAATGTATATGCATGATGCTTTTATTATTTGTTAGTTTGATTTGTCTTTTCTTTCTTTCTTTCTTTTTTTCCAAGACAGGGTTTCTCTGTAGCTTTGGAGCCTGTCCTGGAACTAGCTCTTGTAGACCAGGCCGGCCTCAAGCTCACAGATCCTACTCCTTCTGCCTCCCAAGTGCTGGGATTAAAGGCGTGTGCCAGCACTGCCCAGCTGAATGATGTTTCTAAAATAATGATTTTCTGTAACTGTAAATGTGTAGAGGTCAGAGGACAACTTGCCGGTCTGTTCTCCTACCATATTGGGACTTGGGGACTGAACTGGGCTTATCAGGTTTGGAGGTAAAACCTTTACCCACTGAGACATCTGGTCAGCCCAGGTTTTTTTTTTTTTTTTTTTTTTTTTTTAATTTTTTTTGTTTTTGGAAATGGTTTTGTTTTTTATTTAAAAAAAAAATAATTTGGGCCCCCCCCCCCCCCCAATCCCTCCTTGTTATGTAGCCTCTCTGGGTCTATGGACTGTAGCATGATTATCCTTTACTTAACAGTCAATGTTCACTTACAAGGAACTAGATATCATGTTTGTCTTTCTGGGTCTCGGTTGCCCCACTGGGGCTAATTTTTTTTTCTAGTCCCATCCATTTGTCTGAAAACTTCATGATGCCACTTTTTTTAACAGCTGAATAATACTCCATTGTGTAATATACCACGTTTTCTTTATCTATTCTTCAGTTGAGGGACATCCGGGCTATAGTTTCTGGCTATTATGAATAAACTTGCTATGAACATAGTTGAGCAAGTGTCCCTGTGGTAAGATGAAGTGTCTTTTCGGGTATATGCCCAAGAGTGGTATAGTTCAGTCTCGAGGTAGATGGATTCCCAATTTTCTTAAGAACCAGCCATATTGGTTTCCATAGCGGCCGTACAACTTTCACCAGCAGTGGAGGAGTGTCCCCTCGGGATGCAGAGCTCTCTGGGAAGGGGAAGTAGGCCTTGCGGGTGGACTGGAAGCAGGTAGGGATGGGAACAGGAGAGTCCAGGTGGGAGAAAGGATAGCTAGAACTGGGAGGCATTGGGGGAGGGGTGCGATGTGGAAACCTAGTGCGGTGGAGCCTTAGCAAGGACTCCTGGTAACAGAGGACACAGAGACCGAACCAGTCACGAAACCTTACACCCACACCTGTCCTGCCTGCAAGATGTGCTGGGGGCAATGGGGGCTCAGAGCGTGTGGGGGTGGCCAGCCAATGCCTGGTATAACTTGAGGCCCAAACCGCAAGAGGCTCACTCACCAGCAGGCTTCAGAGGGCACACAGGCTGCTCCTGAAGCGCTGTGCTGACAAAGTTCCAGGTAGGACTCAGGCTCATCCCAAGCTCCTAAGTGTCTCAAAGGCTAGAAGAGGCCTGGTGTGGCGCACGCCTTTAATGCCAGCACTCGGGAGGCAGAGGCAGGCAGACCTCTGAGTTCACAGCCAGCCTAGCCCACACAGTGAGTTCCAGGACAGGTAGGGCTACATAGTGAGTCCCTGACTCGACACAAACAAAAAAGTGGTATTCCATGAAGACCGGAGCTCGAATCTCCAGCACCCACGTACAAATGCTGAACGTGGGAGCTGGAGACACAGTTCAGATGTTAAACACTAGGCTAACAAAATGTCAAAACTCAGCGTGGCTGTGTTCACACCCTGCAACCTCAGTCCTGGGGTGGGGTAGCGGTGGAGACAAGATTGTTGGGGCTCACTGGCCCTTTACTCTCAGTGAACCCAGTGAGCTTCAGGTTCGGAGAGAGATCTGTCTGGAGGGAATATGGTGGCGAGCAACGGAGAACACCCAGTGTCCTCATCCGGCCTCCCAGTGCGCATGTGCACACACAAACTAAGTGACTGAGGGAACGAGGGTGCCTGGAGCCTTCAGGGCCCTCGCAGACAGACGCTGCCATTTTGGCACTGTAGGCCTACAGAGCATGTGCAGCTGGGAATCTGGAGACAGAACATTCCAGAAAGAACACGTATAGCACGGAATACCACCCAAGAGAGCTACTCCTGTTTTTTTTTTTTGTTTTGTTTTGTTTTTAAATGTACATTGGTATGAAGTTGTCAGATAACCTGAAACAGGAGTTACAGACAGTTGTGAGCTGCCATGTGGGTGCTGGGGAATTGAACCTGGGTCCTCTGGAAGAGCAGTCAGTGCTCTTAACCACTGAGCCATCTCTCCAGCCCTGCCACTCCTGTTTTATGTATTCATTAGTGTGAACAGTTAAGCATTCTTTCCTTGGTCACTTAAAAAGCAGGATGACCCACTAGTAAGAAGAAACAAGCCTTAGTTTTACTCACGTAGTTCATTGTAATGAAGGCACGATGTCACAGCGCCTTTGCCTTGGTGTCAGCTGGGTGACGCCAGAGCCTTTCGCAGTTTCCAAATCTCTCTCTCTCTCTCTCTCTCTCTCTCTCTGTCTCTCTCTTTCCGAAACAGGGTTTCTGTCTCCCTGGCTGTCCTGGAGCTCAGAGACTCTCTTGCTTCTGTCTCCCGAGTGATGAGGCATGCACCACAACCTCCCGACACTCTTTTTTAAAAAGGATTTATTTATTTGTGTATGAGTGCCATATCTGCATGTTAACCTGCGTGCTAGAAGAGGGCTTCAGATTCCATAATTGATGTCTGTGAGCCACCATGTGGTTGCTGGGAACTGAACTCAGGACCTCTGGAGGAGCAGCCAGCACCCTCAACAGCTCTCCAGAACCCCAAATCTCATTTCTTCAGCTGGGCTTCACCAGAGTTTTCCAACCCAAACAGCTTTTCTGCATCCACGGACAGATCAGCCCTGTGGTGGTTTGAACGCTAACGGTCCCCCCAGGCGTGTGTTTGGTCCCTGGTTGGTGGAACTGTTTGGGTTTGTGCCGTGCCAGAGAGCTCTCTGTCTGGTACTTGAGGATTAGGATGCAAGCGCTCAGCTGTTCCTGCCACCATGAAACTGCGAGCCCCAAACAATCCCTGTTAATATAGCTGCCTTGGCTGGGGTATCTTGTCACTGCCACAGAACAGTGCTGCTCAGACAGACGATCCACTGTTTAGAGCATGATGACTGTAGACCCAAACCATCTTTCTTTTGAGGCTACTTATCAGGGGCTGGAGAGGCGGCTCAGAGGTAAAGAGCACTGGCTGCTCTTGCAGAGGTCTTGGGTTCAGTTCCCAGCACCCACATATGGTGGCTCACAATCAGGTGACTCTAGTTCCAGGGGATCTTCCTCGGCCACTGTATGCACATGGTGCACGGATACACACATGCAAGTAAACACCCACACACATAAATTAAACTCAAAAAGCCCTCTGAAACAGAACCAGGAAGAACGAACGGGTAGGGAAGAAAGGAGACTCAGCACTTAAGAGCACTGTGCTCTGCAGGACTCGGGTTCCGTTTCCAGGACCCACATCTGCTCACAACTCCCGGTAACTCCAGTTTTAGGGGATCCAAAGTCCTCTTCTGGTCTCCAAGAACACACACACTCAAGCACACACAGATAAAAGGAAAATTTTAAAATTATACAAATAAAAAAAACCCTGAGAACAATGAAAAACCACTTTTTTAAAAATTTATTTAAGGAACACAAAATGCATCTAAATGATCTTTTTGTATTGTTTTGAGACAGGGTCTCACTATGTAGCCCTGGTTGTCCTGGAACTCACTATGTAGACCAGCCTGGAACTAGCTCTGTAGACTAGGTTGGCTTGGAACTCACAGAGATCCACCTGCCTCTGCCTCCTGAGGGCTGGGATTACTCCCAGATTCTAAATGATTTTTTAAAAACCAAAATTTAAATTTATCATCTGGTCACCCATCACTCTACCCCATCTAACAGCGATTTGACGACATCTTCTGATTTCCATATAAACTGTTTGAAATTGCTGACTACAGTAACATGTTAAGTCCAGGGGTGCTGCTGGTTCGGAACCTCGCATGCTGCCCCCTCCCGGCACGGGTCTCCTTGGCTCAGGACGTACACTGGAGATAGCTGGTGAGGTCTCCTGTAAGAAGCTGACTGGCCTAACTTGTTAGAACTCAAATTCTCGCCATGCCCCCACTGTTTCTGTGGTCTAGTCAACAAAACTACAGACACTGGAGAGTTAAATAAGAGGTCACCTCCAGCTCTTCGAACTTCCTAGGGGAGACCAGAGTTGAAAACTTTCATGGAAAGGGGAAGAAGCGTAAAGTGTGAAGTTTGAGGGGTTTTAGTCACCAGTAAAAGAAATTCTTCAAAACTTAATTCCATCTGTTGCACGTAGAATAAAATCAGAGCAGCGGGAAACAACTTGACTTGTAGGCTTTTAAGGTCCTAAAGATGAGACTTGCTTTATTAAAACCACCATAAAAATAAAAACCCACATATACGCAACTGCCAGTGTTCCTAGGGCTAGGAAAGCGAGGTTTCCAGGCTTAGGTAGCGGCTCCCTGGGCTGCTGGGTGCATCCCCTTGGGGGCTTCTTGGCTGTGGAGAAGCAAGGCTTGCTCAACCCCATCTATTACCCATAGGACTAAAATCCAACTATGTGACTATTTAACACGTGCCCTGATCCAAAGCCCAAGTACTGGAGTCTGGTGTGATGTACCTGCATGGGAAGCCAGCATCCTTTACAGTCCACACCAGAATGAAGAGGCTGTAGAACGGGGGGCAGCACCTCCAGGTACCCTTACTCTAAGAGGAACTGCCTGCTTTCAAACCTCGCAGATTCTGCCTTTCAAAACCTAAGCAAAAAAGCAAAAAGTGAAAAAGTGTTTCTGCATGATAGAGGAGTGTGAAGTTCCTTCCATAGCGCGCTAACAGGCTCACAAGCAATTTAAAAAAAAAGGAGTGACCACATCAGTCTTAGTTGGATCTGGACATCAGTCCACTCCACGTCTAGGACAAGAGTGAGCCTCAGGCTCTTCACAGCGAGGCAGAAACACGAGGCCGAGCAGCAGCTGCCAGCATGAAGCACTGAGTGCCAACTCATTCCTAAGAGCAGGGATAGTGGGGAAAGCAAGGCCACTCCAACTGTTCTCCACACAGAAGCCGTTCTCAGGGAAGGCTAGCCCGGGGACGCCCACCTGCCGCCAGACTCCCTGGGATGAGCTGGGTATGACAAACAGCCACACTCAAGAGTCTGAGAGGGGACCCGGGAAGCCGCTGGACAGGTAGGCAAGGGGTCTGCGAGTCTGCTGTGGACCCGGGGATCCCTCGCTTTGGGCTCCTGTTCTCAGCACTTGAGTTAGTTTCCAACAGAACCTCACCTCCCACCCCCTGCCTCGCCTCCCAGTAGGAAAGCAGAGATCATCAAGTTAGGTTTTGAAAGGTTCCTGCAGTGTTACTGAAGGGCAGATGGAAACTCTCCCAGCAGCCGGGGCATTAGGATCATCTCAAGAAACGCCGTGTTGGACAATGAAGGGGACAAACTGAAATGAACTGGACTTGAGCGCTGGCTTGGTCTCCACACCAACGGCCCTTTCTGGTCTGCTTCCTGGCGTGACCTCCCACCCCACCCCGGCAGCAGCAGGTGGTTATTTTGGGAAGCTACTGGTTTTGCCATTTGCTTCCAGAATCCCAGAGACTGTAACAAACCTTACACTAAACACTGTTCAGTCCTGAGCTGGGTGTGAGCCCAGCGAGGAGGGCCGAGGGCGTCAGGACTCTCTTCCCTCCTTGGCGTGGCGTCATACATGGCCTTCGGCCTTCCCTTCTTCCATGGCCTGACTTTCGGGTCTTTTACCAGCCGCTCCTTCTACAGTCTTCTTGCTTATTGCTTTGCTGGCCGCTTCCTGGGGGTTAACAGAGGTGGAGATGAAATTAACCCCTGCCTTCCCAAGATGGTTTTATCAGGTCTACAACAAATGTGGATGCTTGTATTCGGGTGCACGGCTGGTAAATGCGGTGGTGGCATGCAATGGAAGAGCTTGCTAGCGGAGGTGGCTGCTGGATAATTAAGTCCCGTGGTAGTAGAAGCTGGGGATGACCGGGGCAAGAAGCTGACCATCTTCAGACAGCCTGCTGTCAGCCTGGACTCACACGGACAGTTCGGTGAGGGCACAGCAGTGACACGCCTGCTTCCGAGTCAGGCTGGACATCTCATCCAGGAGATATTACTCAGAAAAAATACTGATGGGCTTAGAATTTTGTTTTTTGTTTTCCCCCCCAAGACAGGGTTTCTCTGTGTATCCCTGGCTGTTCTGGAACTCGCTCTGCAGACCAGGCTGACCTTGAACTCAGAGATCCACCAGCATCTACCTCCCCACTGCCAGGACTGAAAGTGGGAGCCACCACCATTGGCTGAATTTATTAATATTTTTAAATGACAAGCTCAGCTCCTCAGCACCAGGGCCAGGGCCTTGCACGCACCTTCGCATCCTGCTCTGCAAACTTCTTGAACATGTTGGCGTACACCCTGCGGTCCCGCTCGTTGTGCTCCTTGGCCTTCTTCTGGCACACGGAGATCTGCAGTCTCGCGGCCTTATTCTGAGGATTCACTTCCAGCACTCTCTCGAAGTCACCTTTGGCTGACTCAAACTCATTCATGAGCAGCTGGGCTTCGCCCCTTCGGTACAAGCCTTTCTCGTTGGCACCGTCCAGTCCAAGGGCCTAGAATAGACGGTCCGCAGTTTACAAGGGCTGGCTGTAGTGCTCACTTGAGGCTTAATTAAAAATGAATTCAGTAAAGAGTGTACAGCTCGAGGGAGTCAGACGAGGGGGCTGAAATAGTGGGACGACAGCACTTACACCCTAAGATAAGCGTAGTTATACATTAACAGCCACGTAATAATCAAATTCACTTTGGTTTTCAATGTTTTAGTATAAAATGTCTCTTCCAAAGCTCCTGTGTTGAAGTGCTGCTCCCTTATGGGAGGCTTGACTGGACTCTGAGGGCAACTCCATCAGTGAGTCCTTACTGACCAGGACAGGAAGAGATTAGCGCAATGTTTCTCAACCTGGGGGTCACATATCAGAATATCGTTATTTTATTTTCATAACAGTAGCAAAATTATAGTTGTAAGGTAGCAATGAAATAATTTTATGGTTGGGGTCACCATAACATGAGGGACTATATTAAAGTATTAAAGGTCACGGCGTTAGGAAGGTTGAAGAGCACTGGACAAGAGGAAGGTCAAAGGGGTGTGTGGGTTTTTTTTTGGAGACAGGGTGTCACTATGTACCCCTGGCTGTCCTGGAACTCAGGCTGGCCTCAAACTCACAGAGATCCACCTGTCCCTGCCTCCTGAGTGCTGGGATTAAAAGTGTGTGCACCTCCAAGCCCTAGAGGTGGCTTTGTTTCCTCTGCTATGCCCTTCTGCCACCCTTCTCTGCCCACAGCAACAGTGCCAGCCAAACATGAACAGAAACCTTTGAACTAAGTGTGAGACAAGTGCCCCAGCCCGATGTGTGTATCCATGTGTACATAGGCCAGATGTCCACCTGCAGGAGCTGTCCACCTCGAGTGTGAGACAGTCTCTTGCTAGCCCCGCCGGTCAGTGGGACCTGAGGATCTGCCAGTCTGCCCCACCAACACTGTGATTATAGGTATGGGTGGCCCAGAATAATAATAACAATCATTATCATTTTTGCACGTGTATGGGCATTTTGCCTGCACGCATGTCTGTGCACTTGCACGCTTATGGACCCTCTGACTGGAGGTACAGAAAGTGTGAGCTGCCGTGTGACTGCTCGCTATGGGACCCGAGTCCTCTGTGAGAGCGGCGGGTGCCCTCACTCCTCAGACACTTTTATGTGGGTGCCAGGCCAAACTCAGGTCTGCATGTTGTGTGACAGGCACTTTACCACTGACCCACTTCCTCCCCATCTACATTTTTTTTTTTTGAGACAGGGCTTCTCTGTGTAGCTTTGGGGCCTGTCCTGAACTCACTCTGTAGACCAGGCTGGCTTCTAACTCACAGAGACCCGCCTGCCTCTGCCTCCCGAGACCCACCTAAAATCTCTAGCACTTCCAGTTCTAGGAACTCACCCTGTGCAAACACAATGAGAAGACTTTCACCCCTAAACGGGGAGGGAGGGCTCTGAGGGCACTCATCTGACGGGGAGGGGAGTCCTGGCTTCATACAACTAAGTCCAAATCTTTTCTAACTAGCTTTAAACTTATTTTTTATGTGTATTATGCGTAAGTATGGGTGTGCACGCACACACACACACGCATGCACCTGAGATCTTCCTCTATTACTCTCTGCCTTACCCCTTTTGAGGCAGGGTCTTGCTTTGAACCTGGAGCTCCTAATTTTCAGGGAGGCTGGCAGGCAATAGCCTTCACAGCCCTCCTATTTCCTGTCTACTCAGTGTTCCCACTCTGTGTGCGCTAGGCAGGCTTGCTATGTGGGTGCTGAGACTCAAACTCCGGCCGCCCATGCCTGAATAGCAAATGCCCTCAGAACCACTGAGCCATCTTTCCAGCCCTCAATCTATGGACAGCAGGGTTGTAGCTCAGCTTGCTCAGTACATACAAAATCCTGAATTTTATCCCTGGCTTAAAACAAAACAAAAACCAAACCCAAAAACACCAAAAACAAAAAACCCTGGTGTTGTGGTGTATGACTGTAATCTCAACACTCAAGAGCTGGAGGCAGGAGGGTCAGAACTTCAAGGTCATTTGTGGCTACACAGCAAATTTGAGGTCAAACTGGGATCTGAGACCTTGTCTGAAAAACATAAACACAGGTGCTAGTGTACAAGTGTGAAGGGAGGAGGGCTGTGTGTAGAGCGGTGACTGGGGGGGTGGGGCACTGAGCTGGTGTCGTGGGTAAAGCCCCTTGCTGAGGAGCGTCACTAACTGGGTTTGGTTCTCGGGACCCAGATGGTGGAAGGAGAACTGACTCCAGAGAGCTGTCCATGAGTGTGCACCATGGCGTGCACACAACCACCCACACTCATGTAATAAACGTTTAGGGAACGGGGAGAGGGAGCTGGAGAAATCATTCAGTGGCTAAGAGTCTGACTCTTGCAGAAGATCTGAATTCAGCAGCCAGCATGCACACGGGGTGGCTCACAACTGCCTGTAACTCAAGCTCCAGCGGATCAGATGCCTTCTGCTGGTCCTGGCAGCACCTATGTGCACACATGTACGCTCCCCCACACAGATAACACACACAGACAGGTAGTTAAAAAAATAACGTGTCTTTAAAAAATGGCTTTGGAGAGAAAGTTGATCGGGATTTTATGGCTGGGCTTTCCGGTATGCTTGAATTCCAAAAAGCCCCCCACTCCACCCCCAACAGGGTCTCTCTGTGTAAAGAGTTCTGTCTGTTCTGGAACTCACTTTGTAGATCAGGTTGGCCTCAAACTCCAAACTCACAGAGATCCACCTGCCTCTGCCTCCCAGGAGCTGGGATTAAAGGTGCATGTTACCACTGCCTAGCCTACACACACACACACACACACACACACACACACACACGAAACAGGACCAGAGCACAAATGCAAAACCGTGAGAGTTGCCGAGACGCTCTACGGGCCTCTTAGATTAAATCTGTGTATTCAGTCGCTAAAGTTCTGAGGAACTCAAACTAAATCTTCTTTATAAAAGAGAACCCAAGGGCTGGGGGTGCGGCTCAGTGGCAGAGCATTTGCCTAGCAGACACTAAGCACAATCCCCAGCATGGCAAACAAAACAAAAGGTGGAACTCACAGAGTTCTTCCTTTACGACATCACTAAAAACCAGGGTAAGTAAGGCCATGGCTGAAAACTGCCACCAATTCTGTGGAAAATTTTATGTAAAATGCCTGATAAAAATAGCCCATGTCCAATTGTCTATATTCTGTCAATTATGTTTTAAATAAACGCTGATTGGCCAGTAGCCAGACAGGAAGTATGGGTGGGACAACCAGACAGTAAGTAGAGGCGGGTCAGTGAGAACAGGAGAATTCTGGGAAGAAGGAAGCCCACTCCTTGGGAGTCCTGGCCCAGCCACAAGATGTGACTGCCTTGCTGAAAAAGGTACTGAGCCATGTGGCTAACATATACTAGAATAATGGGCTAATATAGGTTAGAAGAGTTAATAAGAAGCCTGAGCTAATGGGCCAGTTTACAACAACAACAAAAAAACCCCCAAAAACCCCCAAAACAAAACAAACAAAAAACCAGTCCCTGTCTAGCCCAATCCAGTGAGTGTCCCAGCTCATGCTGAGCACAGAGGAGACAGCCGAGGGAGGCAGAAGGTGAAGATGCCACCCTCCCCAGCCCACGACATCACCCACCTTGTCGCAGCACTCCACAGCTTTGGTGTACTCTCGGAGCTTCAGGTAGCACATGGCCAGGTTTAGGAAGGCTGCAAGCAGGAACGATTCAGAGGCTTTTGACTCCTTCTCTGATAGGCCATACTCCATCTCCAGCCAGGACACGATCTTCCCGTACTGAATCACAGCCTGCAAGTACTTGCCGCCCTAGGAGGAGAAAGCCAGTAATGACTGGTACTGTGCTCTAGAAGGGACAGTGTGAAGTGAGCATGGCCTGCCTCAGCTGAGTCCTCACGAGGAATAGGCCGCACGACAACCCCGCTCTGTGTCCTTCAGTTCCCAGGCCTCAGCTCTCCTGCCCCTTCCTAGTCCTGTGTGAGCCTGTGAAGTAGCCTGGAGCAGCTGACACCACAGCGTGCTGGGTTTCTGGCATTCTTTTAGCCTGGCAGCAGGTGGTTACACCATTTGAAGCCAACATTCAACAGTCTTTCAAAAGGGTGGTGAGCCGTATGGCTTATGAAAAAGGAGGTGACTTTTCTCTTCCCCCCTGGCATCCAGCGTTGCATAGTAAATACTGCAATATGGTAACGTAGTCCCCAGACAGCCTAGGCTATCTAAAGCAGATTGTGCACGTCCCCGGCTTTCATTAGAGTGTGAAAGCAGCACCTGCCGGCACAGGCAAAACTGCAGCAGTGTGGCTGAGCCCTGGCGTCCATGCAGCAGTGTGGCTGCGCCCTGGCGTCCGTGCAGCGGTGTGGCTGCGTCCTGGCGTCCGTGCAGCGGTGTGGCTGAGCCCTGGCGTCCGTGCAGCGGTGTGGCTGCGCCCTGGCGTCCGTGCAGCGGTGTGGCTGCGTCCTGGCATCATTTTACTTGTAAAAGTAGGGAGAGGGCCAGAGCATGGTGTGCTGATCCACAGGCAGTGGGAACACACCTAGCTGGCTGGCAGCATACAGTCTAAGTAACCTTGAACATCAAAACTCAATGTGAGAGAAGACTAGTCTACTCTTGCTTGTCCTACCGTCCCTCCTCCTCAGTACTAAGGGTTGAACCCAAGGCCTCACGATACTAAGCGAGCACTATACCTGTTCTATCTCCAAGCCTTCATCTGTATTTTAGACAGACAGGGCTTTGTTAAGTTGTCAAGGCTGCCTCAGCTTCCAGACAGTGGTTCTCCAACTTCCTAATGCTGTGGCCCGTTAGGGGTCAACCAACAGGTCGAGAAGCGCTGTTCCAGAGTGAGCAGAACCCCAGGCATGGCCGGCACAGGCCCTGGCCCTGCTGACTAATGCTGACTGCTGCAATAACTAATGCCACGAGTGGAGCAGCATCTGGGAATCTCGCACACGAAACTGCAATGCAGGCGAGGGCTCTTTTCTGCAGCAGTCAAGTGCAGCCTGAGCACAGAGCACACTTCCTATCAGGTGGCAGGTGAGCAGACAGCCCTGCAGGACGTTAAACCCAGTGTTCACCCACTGAGCACTGCTGAGACCCGCACTAGGACTGACTGCACTCAGCGCAGTGAGGACAGCCCACTGTGTGGAGCTCTCGCCACAGCCAGTCGCAGACACACTTCCTTCCCGAGGCCACTAGGAGGCGCAAGACACCCGCACACAGCAGTGAGCCCAGCCTTCACAGGCCAGGTCAGAACCAGGTGAGGACAGTCATTTCCTGCTTCTCGTGAGTGTTCCGAGGTGGAAAGGAAGTCCCAACATCAGCCTAAAGAGCACAGTTCAATCCTTCTCTGCTCACAGCAGTAAGCCAAACTGGCAGGTCGATAAAAACGTGCGGATGTCCTGAAGTCCGAATCCGCAGGGCAGCCCACCTCTGCAGGACCCACACATCTGCAGTAGTGTGCACCACCCTGGGGAGCGGAGCTGGTGAGAGCAGCACAGCAGAAGGAAGGCTGCCCCAGGGCTGCAGCCCACCAACGCTGCCGCAGCAGCTCCAGAGCATCATCACCGCTGCGATCTATCATTAGGAAGCTGCCTCCAGGAACTCTGGCGGGACAGAATGTTCAGAGACGTCTGAGCTAAGCCCTTAGGTCAGCGGTTTCAAACCTTTCATTAATTTCCCCTCCAACAGACTAACGTTTTGAAAGATCTTGTCTATCAAATTACATGCCAAAAATACCATGTTCCATATGTGTGACTGACCATCCATATTTTATCCAGATTGGTGATTTTAGGAAGATTCAAAACATGCTGAAACCTATGTATGTATCATCTCTGCAATGTTGATGTGGCCCAACCAACACAGTGAGAGAACTCAATTAAAGAAAAAGCAAAGGGCTAATGTTCCGGATCCCCTGCAGAGCTATCTGTATGCTTTCTGATGACTCGTACGTTATTTTAGCATCTTTGCTAAGAATAAACAAATGCATGTATTATTATTAAAAAAATCTCTGGATTTCACCCACAGTGAAAAACATGCTTTAAACCAAGCTGGTCTTCACTACACGCAGCGTGCACACGCACTAAGCCGATTCAAGGACCCAATCACGGGTTTCAGTTCAAAGTGGAAAGCAGATGAACCACCCCCCAAAACAAAAAGGCCAGTCATCTATGCTGTCTCTGGCAGTGTTTTTTGGGGGTGACTACAGTCTCGCAGTTCTTCAGCTTGGTCCCTTCCCGCAGATGAGGCTGTAGATGCAGCAGTGTATCTCGGAAATAAGCTCATGAACACTCGACTCAGGCCTCTGCTCTGTATATAGTGTTACGAAAAAAATAACCAATGATTTTTCTTTAACAAGCAAAAAAAAAAAAAAGACTGCTGGTACAAGAAAGAAAATTGAAGAACACACGGGCAGCCTCTCCTACTCTTTCATTTATTTATTATTTTTGAGATAGAGCCTCACTATGTAGCCCTGGCTGGTTGGTTGGAACTTGCTATGTAGACCTGGCCTTGAACTCAGAGAGCCTTTGTCTCTGCTTCTAGAGCACTGGGATTAAAGGTGTGTGCCACCACAGCTGCTTCTGGCTTCAATCTCTTTACTACAAGGCAGGGAACTGAGTCAGCTCCTTCGGACACCATCACCTAACCCAGCAGAGCAGAGCCATTCTTGAGTTCTTATCACTAAGTTTGCACGCATTTGGGAATAGACTGGCGAGCAATCTGCATGTCATTCTGAAATCTCTTTTCTTGCACCTGGGATTAGGACCTGTAGGATAAAGCACTGGCTCTTAGGTCCCACGGACAGGGCTCGGGGAAGCAGCTGTCACTCAGGGCAGCTGTAAGTGGCATCACTGTGGCCACTGCAAGGTTCAGAACTCTCTTCCTAGCAGGCCCTTGGGAGGGTTGTGCTGGGCATCCCTGGATGCCGAGTCACCCACGCCAGTCTCCAGGGCGTTCTGAGTACCCAGCCAGCCATCACCATTAGAGGCATCTTTATTTTGCTGCTCAGTTACAGCAGCAGTGATGTATTTCTAGATAAAACTCATCAAACAAAGTGGGCAGTGGTGGTGCACGCCTTGAATCCCAGCACTCAGGAGGCAGAGGCAGGCAGATTGTCTTTGAGTTTGAGGCCGGTCTGGTTCACAGAACAAGTTCCTGGACAGCCAGGACACAAAGAAATCCTGTCTGAAACAACAATATTCTCCACTATTTAAGACTTATTTTGAAGATATCGACAGGCTGTGAAAACTGCTGTCCCCACTGAGAACGCAAAGGTAACTCATTTCTCGACTGGAAACTGTGATGAGGACAATCCGGAGACGGCTCCGGCTCTGCTTACGAAAAAGCAAGCGCACTGCTGCACGTGGGGGAAATCACTCCACATGTTTGCAGACTGCATGTTCTTTCCTGCCACGTGTCCTAGTGACCTGTCGGGAGTGGGAAGACACGGAGAGCCACTGCTGTGACCTCTGACCCGGAACAACCACTCTCCATCCTTTCTCTCCAAACTTACTGCACGCTGACTACAGCCAAGCAGGACCTGCTGGGCACTGAGTGCTATGGTTGCGGGTGAGCCGTCCAGCTGTAGTCTGCTCTGAGGACGGCTACAGAGAGGCCTGCAGTATCTCCTTCATGCTAGCGTACTTACTCTGTTCTCACTGCGAAGAGCAGGCCTGTGAAAACTGACGGTTATTCTCACCAAGAAGGTATTGACAGAATGAAGGGCAGGGAACACTGCAGTAAACAGTTCATGGACACGCAAATACACAGCTTAACACGGAAGGATTTCCGGGGACTCACGCACCTTGAAGTACACAGTGCCCTTCTCTTTGACAATGGCCGCCTGCTCCAGCTTTTCTTTGGTGTCCATCTCCCAGGATTCTTTGGCCTGTGTATAGATTTGTGGCAGTTAGACAGATGAGCAGGACGCACACCAGCTGAAGCCTAGAGAGCAAACAGCGGCTACTTCTAGAAGATACCCAAATGCAAAGACACTGGCGGGGAGAGCTGTGCCCACGCCAGGTCAGTGCTCCCAAGCTGTGGTCTGGCCCATGCTGTCAGCTGCCGAGCTCTCCGAAGGACTGCACTCTAGCCTCGGGGAGGACCTCGCTTCCCAACTCTCATGGTCCAGGCCAAGCTGCGTATGCATAGAGAATCTTTCAAACTCCAGATCAAGCAGCTGTCTCATTATTCACACAACCAGATGTATTATGGCCTCTAGCAGCATCAGCTTGCAGAATTTTTTTTCCAGACAGTATTGTGTGTATCTCAGGCTGGCCTCCACCTTAACCATGCAGACAAGGATGACCTTGAACTTCTGATCCTCCTGCTGCCACCTCCCCAGTGCAGGGGATACCGGTGCACACCACAATGCCTGCTTTCACTTGGAGGATTTTCAGCAAAATGCGACTGGAAAGATGCAGCTCGTGTGAAACCATCACTGCAGAGCTGCACATAAGTGACTGCACTGTCTTTCTGTGAAGTGCTATGGTCTGTGTTATGTGTACCCAACCCTCCACAGCAGTGCACTCAGGTCTAGAAACAGCAGCTCTGGGGCCAGTGCTCAGTGAGACAGTGCTTGCTCTGTGTGCTTGAGACCATGGGTTCAATCCCCAGCACTTAAAAAAAATTCATATATACAGCTGGATTTAAGATCACAGAACACAGTGGAATAACTGTGTTATTCTAGGAAAAAGTAATAGGGTGGCTGGCTCTATTTAGTATATATGAATTAGAAAGTTCAAATGGAGGGCTGGAGAGATGGCTCAGCAGCTTAGAGCACTGACTGGCTGTTCTTCCAGAGGACCCGAGTTCCATTCCAGCACCCACATGGCAGCTCACAACTGTCTGTAACTCCAGTTCTAGGGAATCTGACACCCTCTCACAGACACACAGGCAGGAGAGATATATCAATGCACATAAAATAAAAATACATCTTAAACAAAACAAAACAACACAACCCCCCACCCAAGGTTTTCAAGTGGAGCTGGGCAGTGGTGGTGCACACCTTTAATCCCAACACTTGGGAGGCAAGGGCAGGCGGATCTCTGTGAGTTCGAGGCCAGCCTGGTCTGCAGAGCTGGTTCCAGGACTGCTAGGGCTGTTACACAGAGAAACCCTGTCTTGAGAAACCAAAACCAACAAACACTGCTAATGAGTGTGGACCTATGTGAAGACCACGGCCAATGTTAGATGTCTGTCTGTATCACTCCCCACTATTTTTGAGAAAGTAACATTTTTATTTACTTTTCAACACAGTTTTCCTTTGCGTCCTTTCTAAAGCTTTATGGATTTTCTGTGCTATTACGTGTGTGCACGTGCACCGTGTGTGTGCTGTGGAGGTCAGAGGGCAGCCCTGCGGAGTCAGTTCCCCTTCTGTGGGGCTCTAGAGACAAACTCAGGTCACTGGGTTTGTAGCTGGTGCTTTACCTGGGCAGCCATCTTGTCAGAGCTTCACTGAATTTTTTGAGACAGGGTCTCTCACTAAACTTGGAGCAAACTGACTGGCTAGGCAGGCCAGCCAGCAAGTCCCAGAGATTCCCGTCTGCTCAGCCTTGGGTCGCTGGCACAGGCCCTCATGCCTACCCAGTGAGCCATCTCCCCAGCTCTCTCTCTGTATTTTTTCATGGGGTGTGGCAGTGGTGGTGGTGGTGATGGGTCATGCTATGTAACCCAGGCTGGCCTGAGACATGAGATCCTTCTGATTTAGCCTTTAGAGCACTGAGACTATAGGTGTGCACCACCACGTCTGGCTTCTGACTTCAATTTCCTTTCTCTAAGGCAGGGGATTGGGGCAGGTGAATTCCAAAGACATCACAGGCCTCTACCTGTGAGCCCGCACAGTGACGTGAACAGCACACTGTGGAGAGGTGTCAGCACGAGCTGGGTGCCGTGGGACAGAGGGTAGGGGTCCTCTGTAATAAGGGGTGACAAGAGCATGTGTGTTGGGGGACAGGACGCTGGTGTGGGAGAATCGTACTACTTTCTTCCAGACTTATAGGCTAAGAGGTGACAACTGTCCTTTGGAATCTAGTATGATATGGAAGGACACTTCCTAGTGAAAACCTGACGTACAGACCATGGGGGCTGTGGCAGCATTGGAAGAAAATAAAAAGGGCAGGTCCTGAGGAGCTCCGGGAAGGGCGGGATGTTGGTCACTTGGAGATACAGCTGAGGACGACAGCCTACTTAGCTTATGGTGTGTCTGCCCAGTAAAGGCAGCTGGAACCTACAGAGGTAGCCCTGGGCTGGAGGGAGCAAGTCCAAGGCCATGGCAGATTTCCTCTCCTACTCTTGGACCAGCATGAGAACAGCTGGGTAGCAGGTTTGTTTCTTGTCCCTGGTTGTAGCCCTGCTGGCGCCAAGGCTGAGACCTTGGGATCATAACCTGGAGCCCCAGCGGAGGCCTCTTCGAGACTCCTGTGAAGGGTACGATCCGTTCAGTCCTGAAAAACTGCACCCCCACCTCCCCCAAGGAGCTGCTTGGCAGTACGTGAACTTTTCTGTCCTCAACCCAGGAAAAAAAGTAGAAAAAGAACAAGCCTAGGAACAAATACGGGAACAAGTCTTGGATTCTACCCAAGAGTTTAAAAAAAAAAAAAAAAAGAAGCAGAAAAACAAAGGCTGACACACACAGTAACAAAATAATACCAGCTCCTCTTATATATCCACCCAGGCTGGGAGCAGAAGTGGCGGGGTGGGGGCAGGAATCACGGGTAAAGAGAGCAAGCACAGAAATAGACACCACTTAGTCAAACCGCCTAATGCACAGCGACGGGAAGGGTATGAGCAGAGACCCACCACGACCTTTGAGAAGTTCGCTTTTCTCACCTTTTCGAAGCTCTTAAGCGTAACTTCATACGTAAGCTCGGCATTGGGCTCAATGCCAAATTTAGGCTTCCCTGCCTCACCAAAACCGTATCTGAAATGGAGAGGGAAAACAAGACTTTAGATACCCAGAGACCAAGTAGAGGCTGACCAGAAGGAGAAACATCCACGGTTCACTGCTGCGTTTTCTTAGACCTGGCTGCACGCACACACCGCACACAGGCACGCACACATGTTCGTCTCTAATACACATACATAATTCCTGCACTACCTGGGACAGTCTGTTTGATATGCTTTTCAATATTGATGTCTTTTCCTCTGCTTGATTTGTGACTTAATCCTTTCCTTTTTTTGCTACGAGGGATTTTTTCCCTTTAAGCTCTATGGGCAGAGAGGACAGAGGAGTCGGCTACTATGATCACTGAAGTCAACACAGTTCTGTTCGAATCACTTCCAACGTTTTGCCGTCTATGACTGTTGCTTCTTGTTCTTTGGCACTTTCATACTTGTCTGTAACAGACCTGTCATTTTACCCCAACTCCTTCACGCTCCTTCCCCTCCCATTGGAACCTTTCCCCACCATGGCCCTCCCCTACTCTCACGTCTGAGGTTCCTCAAGTCTTTGTTTCAGAACAAGCTTCTCACTCTAAAGCACTGCTGCCTCTGATCAGATAAACCATAAAGGCAGCACATCGGTCAAGAAATCAGCTCTTAAAGAGTTAAAAGGGGCACTGAAAACAGAAGGAACACATGGCCACAGCCAGCAGCCTGGCACCCCACTTAGAGGCATACAAACTTTTACACCTCTTAATTATCCTGTTTAAGATGCAGTAAATACCCTTCAGCCAAAACTTACTAAGTTAAAAAAGACAAAATACACCCGGAGCTATGTAAATTTCATTTTGAGAAACAAGGTCTTGCTAAGTAGGGTGCTGGTTTACTGGGGTATGCCATCACACCAAGCTTTTGTAAATTAGGTCCAGGGAACTGTTTCAGATCTTAAACAAATTAAATGTATTTGGAAAGCATGCGTCTGATAGAACAGAATCCCATGGAGGTCTGTCTGTTTTAGGGTTTCTCAGCATCTAGAACACTGCCCTATGCTGGGTGTGGTGGCTCAAGCCTTTAATTCCAGCATTTGGGAGGCAGAGGCAGGCAGATCTCTCTTAGTTCCAGAACAGCCAAGGCTACAAATAGAGAGACACTTTCTCAAAAAAACAAAACAAAACAAAACAAAACCCCCCAAAAAACCACAAACAAACAAAAAAACTAAAAAAAAAAAAAATCAGAACAGTGCTCAGTATATAACAAGGGGTTCACTGGAACCGTTTTTATCTGCTATGAGCCAAGCTACTCTTGAAATATGAAATGGCACAAAAAGTTCAGTTAATCCAAACTTTCTGGTCATGGTTTGAAAGATGTCAAAACTGGTTTAAGGCTAATAATATCCCACTTGGGTCTTCTTGGGCTAGGGACGGGGAAGAAGGCACACACCATGCTGCAGCGCCACTCCTCCATCCCCTGAGTTTTCAGGAAGCCTGCTCACTCGCTCACCCAGTCACACAAGACCACGAGCAGCAGGAGCAGAGGCGCAGCGCCTGGGAAGAACTGGGTGCGGCAGCCCCAACACAGGCAAAGGGCATCTTCAGCAAAGCAATAAAGGAAAGGGTACAATTGCCAGTGGCCAATTCTAGGAAATGGCGCCTGGTTTTCTCCCTGGGGCGGGGCGGGTGGGCTGCCTCAGAGCTGTCCCTCACCTGCTGCAACGGAGGCAGGCAGGTGGGTGCTTCTTAAGTCTGCTGCTGAGAGGTGCTAGGATTGGCAGTTCTGCTAAGGAGGGACAAGTGCAACAGATAAACTGGCATTCGCTTTGGAACAGAGGCGGTTCACTGGGCTGATTTTAACCCTTCTTTGTCAGGGGACATTTAGCAATGTTTGGAGATCTTCTGAGTAGGACCACTAGTGGCTGGCAGAGACAGTTCAGGAATATTGCTGTACATTGTCATGGCACAGGGCAATCCTCCTCTGCTACAACCAAGAATTATCTAGCCCTAAACATCAATAGTGGTGACTGCTGGGGGCTCCACTACAGCAGTGGGGTGGGGTGGGGGATGGGGAGTGTGGGAACAGGTTTGAAGGAGATACTGCCTAACTATTACCAGGGGATTAAAGAAGATTATTTGTACCGTCTCTCCTGGTTAAAACTAATTCTGCTAAGCCTGGTGGACACATCTTGGGAGAGCAGGCGCACACCCATCCGTTCCAGAAACAGCCAGCCTCACTCTGTTAAACAGAAGGTGCCTGACTTACACCAGTTCAGACTGGGCAAAGCAGGACCTGACTGGAAGATGAAACATCAGAAATGGAGTCCAGAGTCAACACCTGAGCAACAGCTGCCTTTAGGGCAGACACAGAAAGGGGTCAAGGGCCAGCTGGCCTTGTAGGGAACAAGCAGCACTTGTGTGGGCTCTCACCAGCTGCTCCTTACAGACATAGCTGAGGCCAGAGGCAAGTGCTTCCTGAGAGGTCACAGAGACAGCACCAAGCACAGACCCTACTGTCCTGAGGGAGCTGGGGACCCACACGGCTGGCCCATAATTAGTCAGCACTCTTAATAGCCTGTGTTTTGTTTGGGATTGTTACAAAAGAGGCATAAAGTAAAAAGAAGAGAGAAAAGTTATCAGTACTTAACCTAAAACAAAAGAGAGATCAGTCACAATATTTAATTATTTCTTTGAGCAGAGAAAACACATTTAAGAACAGTGAGAAAAACTCTTGGAGTGGGAGGGTCTCCAGGAGGGACTGCCAGGCTCAGTAGTCTAGAGAACACTGCGAAGAAAAGACACAGCCCCAGAGGGAGAAAACGGGATGCTTTGTTAGTTTCTTAAGAAAACATCCTGTCAAGGAGTCTGTGGATGTCAAGGAAGGTGTGTGTGTGTTTCTTTGGGGTGGGGAAGGTGACACACAGAAGACCACTCAGAGTACAAACTGGATCAGCATTTTATCTGAACAAGACAAGTCTGTATGTTGCACACATACATGGTGCATACGGATGGTCTACATACATGTAAGCATCACACACACATGAAGACAGTGTAGACAGCACTGTACAGAATGTACTTCACAGAACTCAATATATCAACAAAATACCCCAGAGATATGTCAACATACCATCCCCCCCAGGGGGCAGGCAGGAAAAAATACTTTATATACCAAAACTTACGAGAACTTGATAGTTTTTATGCCTGAAAAGATTCAAAAAGCCTACCCTTTGTTCTGCAGAGATTATTTTCCTGTGGCCGAAGGGTAAAAGGAACAAAAGCCATTGCAAAGGCAGTAAGAGCTAATGAGGAAGGACTCCCCTGGGAAGGGGGTTTGCTAAGGCTTTGCCAGACTTCTCCACCTAGGCCTCTGCAACCTTGCAAAGCGGTTAGGTGACCTGCCCCGGTGCCACCATGGTGGGCTGCGGAGAAAGAGGACCAGTACGACCTGCAAGATCCAGCTACACTAAGAAACGTCTCATTTGCTTTACTATCTTACCAGCTGGGTTAAGACCTAAAGATATGGGTCATGTGTTACTGAATGCTCACCCTTTACAGAGCTGATCCCTAAGGACTCAACCGTGAGAACATAACTGGAACATACATGCCACCTGAGGGGAGCGCTACTATGATTCTGGAAGGCCTGATTTAAAGTGATTAGGGAACTTTAAATCTCAGCACTCGGGAGCCAGAGGCAGGTAGTTTGAGGCTAGCATGGTTTACATAGTGAGTTTTAGGCAGCCAGAGCTAAAAAAAGTGAGAAGATATCTTTAAAAAGAAGGACTGTAGGTTATAAAGACCCTCTGTAAAGGGCGGGGGAGGAGCTGTCAGCCAAAAAGAAATAGCTTCATCGTAGAGTGAACTATGGCACAGTGCATCAAATACGCCGACATAGGACTACAGCCGCGGAAGAATAGGGGTGAGAGAAACAGCAGACAAAAGGGTCTCAGACAGCTTTAGAATCAGGATGGAGTACTCTGGAAGAATTTTCAAGGAAGTGTTGGCAAGGCTAAGAAAACTGGGAAACAGGATTACAGAGGAGCATCAGCACTGTTAACACTGGACCACTTGGAGGTGAGGGCAGGCCAAAGAGGCTCAGAACTCCGAATTCTGCCAGTGGCAATCTGCAGCCTGCAGGCTCCTCTGGACAAGCAGATGCGTTTGCATGCAGGCGGCGGCACCCCTGGATTCTCTCAGGGGTCCATTTCTCAAGATAGAAGAGTTGAATTTATGGTATAATTTTAGATCTAAAAATAATACAAAACATGTTTTCACAAGAGACTGTCAGTGCCGGGTAGTTCTAAGCTTGGAAGTGCCAATGGCTATCCTTATGACGGGAAAAATTTAGGCAAAAATGAGTCATCTCCGCTGCCTTTAGATCCAGGAAGAACAAGCTGGTTTTTTCTTCCTTCAGGGACTCCATAAGAATGTGGCATGGATTCAAGCGTAGTAAACCATGCACTACTGCAACTCTCCACACCCTCCTGCTGCAGCCAAAGGAGAGAAGACAACACAAGCCGGTCTCTGCTGATGCGGCACCACGGTACAGGAACAATCCGATTCTTAAACAACGGTGGTGTGAGGCCCCAAACTTCCCAACTGTCACCTGACTAATGAGATGACTTCACCGTGGGAAGAACACTGAGTGAGTGAGTGGGCGGCCCCTGGTCTGCAGCTAGCTCCACCGTGTCCCGAAACACTGCTTCTTACCGTGGCCCCAGATATAAAACACACTGCTCTTCCCTCTGCATTTTCTCCAGGGCTTTGTCGACCCCAATTGGAATGTCGTGGTCCTCTCCTTCGCCAACAGTGAACACCACATCTCTGCAGTCAAACATCCTTCCGCCACAGCAACCTTCCAGGTGGACTGAGGGGAGAAGACAGGACAGTCACAAGCCACGCAGCAACATGGCTTCCCCTCTTGTCCACAAGACACACCCAGTGTCTTCTAGAAGCTTTGCTTACCCAGTCTGACAGTTTAAGAATAAGAGTATTTTTTTTTCTGTTTTTGGTTAAATGAATACTTACCGGTTTTCTTACCCGTGACACGGTCACGACAATACTGGCTTAAACACCTTAATTATGACAATGCCACACATCTAGTCTTGACTATATACAATGGCTTAACCATTTGTAACAGGATCTTGGTTTCAGATGCTTGGGCGAAAATAAATAATAATACCTAGGGCTGAAGGTTGTTTCTGCAATAATACATCCATGCTAAATGAAGACAGCTTTTGGATTTGAGGCAGTCTCTTCTTATGTTGCTCAGGCTGCCCTGGAACGCTTATTTTTCTGCCACTGCATTCCAAGTGCTTTATTATTATATTATTACAGGCATGCACCACATCTTGCTCTAATTATTTTGTATGGTGGCGGGGACCGAATCCAGGGACTTGAGCATGTAAGGCAAGCCATCAACCATTGAGTTACACCGCAGCTCCAACTACTTTTAATGCTAATGCTACATATGCCTTTTCTTCCTCCCTCTTCCTCCATTCATTTCTCTCTTTCTCCCTCTCAGACAGGGTTTCTCAGTAGTTTTGGAGCCTGTCCTGGAACTAGTTCTTGTAGACCAGGCTGACCTCGAACTCACAGAGATCCGCCTGCCTCTACCTCCCAAGTGCCCAGCTCCATGTGCCTTTTCAGACAGGTCTTTTTCCTCAGTAAGAAGGACGAATGGCTTGTGAGACAGAACAGCCCCCGTGATTCTTCTTTGATGATCTAGTTGCTTCCTAAGGCTGCTTAACTGAGATTAGGTAAGTGACTTTAGAGTCTTGAGAAACCACCCTCTCCGAGACATTAATTCCATGTCCTATGACAACTGTCATCGCCCAAACACAGATCCAATTCCAGCCCACTCCACTTTCACTATCTGATCTCTACAGTCTCCTAAAAGTCTAGGATTCTGTTTTAGCCCAGAAGCCAGCTTTAAAGCTAATGCCTTCGGTCAGCCATCTGATCAATCACCTATAGCCTAGGCTGAGAAGTGAGAGAAACTCCGCAGGGTAAAGAGCAGCGAGCTATAGACAGCAGAGGCCTGGTCACCAGAGTAAGGACATAGAGCTCAAGGTCGGACACCGTCTTGGTTGCTCCGACTGCTGCCAACCAAATCCAGAGTCAGTTCCTCCAAACAATGGCCACAGCCAGTTTTGACGTCTGGACGTGGTAAAAAGCCTCTTGTTTTATATCCCATACTCATTAATATATATGAAGCCTTCTATAGTATAACCACATTTGGAATGTTCTAGATAAAATAATGGCTAACTTGTAGAACACTTCCCCTGCCCTCTGAGCGTATGTTTAACATGGAAACACCAGGCTGAGAACAGTGTAGGAGGGACCCAGCTGGGCAGCAGTGAGTACTGCCAGCAACCTCTTCCATTCTAACAACAGATTTGACTTTACTTTAAAACAGATGCACACCACAGGCTTGGGAGCACATGGTGCTTTTCCCTCCCCTGTAGTAAAAGGTGATGTTTTTAAAGAAACTGAATCCTTAGCAGGTTGGTTATCTAATCTGAGCCTGAACTCAGGCCTGTAAGCCTAGCCACTCAGGAGGCTGAGGCAGGAGACTCATACAGCTGTGGCCTATCTCACAGTAAGAAGTAAAGAGAGGGGCAGGGAGAGAACTTGGTGGCATAGTACCTGCTTAGCAAGCACAAAGCCTGAGGTTCAAGCCCCAGAACCACAATAAACAAACAAACAGAATGTAGATTACTGGACGGTTCAGCTCTTGCCCACCCACTACTGACAGTGTATCTGGTACTCAGATGTCATCCTAGTCGCTCACCCCTTGACAGATTTGGGGGCAGGGAAGTCTGACGTTTACTGTCAGGTGACTGCGTCCTCCCGAAAGCCCAGCGCCTTCAGTAGGGAGGAAAGAGCAGTACACGTGCTGTGGCTTCGGCTGATCAAGACTGAATGTGTTTTCAAAACAGGAAGCCCAGGCACTCCTGCGAAGGACCCCCGATTATACGTCAGTTTCCTAGACAGATCTGCAGCACATAATGTGTTTGAAATTACCAAATAATTTCAGACGTTCGCCTTCTGTGCGCAGGAGAGAAGAACCGAGGAAGTAAGGCATAGTTAGGAAAGCAAACACTGAGGTTGGAGAGAGCTCAGTGCTTAAGAAAGAACACTTGCTGCTCTTGCCAACGACCTGCGGCTCAAATCCTAACACCTATATGGAAGCTCAGAACTCTAACTCTAGTTCCTGGGGATCCAAAGCCCCCTTTGGGCCTCTGTGGGCACTGCATTCATGCGGTACACAAGCTTACATTCAGGCAAACACACACACATCTAAAAAGGAAAAAAAGATTTTATTAATTTATGCATGCATGTGTTTGAGTGTAAGCTCGATGTGTACAGGTATCCACAGAGACCAGAAGAGGGCATCCAATCCCCTGAAGCTGGAGCTATAGGCAATTTTGAGTTGTCCAGCACCTGTGCTGGGAACCACACCAGCTCTGGAGGAGCAGCAGCTACCTCAGCAGGTAGAGGCTGTCTCCGCCTGACAAGCCAAGCTCAGCACCTGGGCCTCAGAGAGTAGAAGAGAATCAATTCCCACAAGCCATCCTCTCATCTATGTGTGCACACCCACACACATAATAAATAAATAAAAATGTAATTAAACATTTTAAGTGGCATTCTCACACACACTCCACCTTAGACATCTATGCACCATCTCCTAAGTTGGGGATGTCAGAGAAAAATGCAGGATCAGAGCAGGGTGAGCGCAGCCCACGATTCTCCGTCTCATTGGCTGGACGAGCTGGCTCTGAACACTGCTGTGACAGTCACTAGGCTGCTGCTACCCAGACCCAGTAAGACTCTTGGAGGTGATCTACACAGAGGCACCCAGTTCCTCCGAAGCCCATTTCCACTGCTCTGTCTCTGGAAAACCTGTGGGTACTTTTGACTTTGTATTCCATAGTACAAATACTCACTTAATAAATATTTAATAAGAGCCATCGTGACTCACTTGGGAGCTCAGCCTCTAGGGCTCAGGAGGTCTGTTGCTAATCTCATCCAGCATGATTTACAGGAAGTAAATGATCTATGACGTGTCCGAAGTGAGCAGAAGTACATACAGGATGCTTCTACTTAGGGCTTTTTTGGTTACAGAGAAATAAGCAAGTTAAAAAGAGACAGTATTTTCTCTTGACTGAAGGTCTAATGTAACCTGGAAGGGGGTGCTCCAACAAACCCCACAAAGTCAAACCAAACCAAATTACCCAAGTGTAGCTGTGCAATCCAGAGTGTAACCACATCAAGTGAGCCCGGTCGCTGCAAAACATCATTTCAACTGGAGCTCTGACTTATTGTTCTCTTACTGCCCTAGAGCAATTTTGTTTTGAAGAGCACAGAACACCCTGTTCTGAATGTGGCTGGCACATGAACTCAATGTGCTGACAGCAATTTGTTCTCTGATTAAAACGTGGGGGGGGGGGAAGGAGAGCGCACAGCAGTAACAAAAACTGGAATGCAAGAACCCCCAAACCGTACAGCTTGTATTTCAGGAAGCAGAACCGAGGAGGAGGCTGCTTAACTTTAAAAAAGTGCTGCAAACGCCACAGCTAAGACGTTAGCTTGGTGAGTGTCTGCTTTCCCCTTTCTAATTATAGTAGCTGGTGTCTGATAGCTGGGCACTCCTTCCCAAAACAATGACTGGGTCGCGGGGATCTGAATGGGACTGCTGTAACGGCATTACTACTAGGAAAGACTGGGCATCTGGCTAAAGAAAACCACGCTATGACGGGTCACTCACCCTCGGCGAGGCTCTGCTGCCTAATTCACGTGGAAAGAGCTTCTCTGGATCCGTTTCCTGACAGAGCAGGGTTTCCCAGAGAGCATATGTGATTAAGCCCAAGGAAGGCAAGCAGAGAGGCACACTGATCACAGGATATTGTCCCCACCAGGTGTGGTGGTCAGATAGCCCCTCAGAGTCCCCCTGTTTGCTCCGTCCCAGTCTGCTCTGTCCACTGAGGCAGACTCCTGCCCCAGGCAGGCATGGGACCTGACTAGATACTGGAAGGGCAGACATTTCCAATCTCACCCCTGTCCCCTCCACTACAGCTTAGAACACGAGCCAGACCTTGATACTAATCAGTCCCATTCTGCCACCTAACAACCCTCACCACGGGACATTCAGTTTCTTCATCTATGGAGGGTGACACTGGCTAATTTGTAACTGTAGGATAAACCAGGCACTCAAAAGCCAAGTGCAGTGGCATTTGGGAAGCAGAGGCAGGAGGGTCACTGCCGTGAGACCAGACAGAGCTACACTGCGAGTTGGGGGGCAGTAAGAGCTACCTAGTGGGACCTGGTCTCAAGCAAACAACCATCACCACCAACAACGACAAACGGAAATTAAATTTAAAAAATAAAGTACTCAGGAGCCTGGTGATATAATTCAGTAGAAAAGTGCCTAATTAGTGCTCTCAAAACACTGGGTGTAATTCTCACACAGCACAAAATAACTAAAAGTTCAGAGTGGACACAGTGTCAAGTGCAATTCTGGGGACATCTGATCACCACTCAACACATGAGACTGAGAAGCAAGAGGACCAGCCTTAGTGACACGAGGTCTTGTCGCTAAAGAAAACCAAGGGGCTGGAGAGATGGTCTGGCTGTTAGATATACTTGTTGCTCTTGTAGAGGACCCAGGTTCAGTTCCTAACATCAACATGGTGGCTGACAACTGTCCATAACTTCAGTTTCAGGGGATATGATGCCCACATCTGACCTCCTTAGAGACCAGACATGCACATGGTACATAGACATAAATGCAGACAAAAAGCACATATGCATAAAACAGTATTTTAAACAAATGTAAAAAACAAGTTAAGTGCTAAATTAAAGCCC